TGATTTTCTTTTCTTCTAGAGGGCATACAACTTCTGAAAGGATGCTCTTCAAGTAAGGAAAGGCAAAGCAGAAAGAAAGATATTTAGGAAGGTGTTAGTGAGGATTGAGCATCTCCGTCATAGAAAGCTTGAGTGTCCTGTCTTCCATACACTTGAAAGAATGAGAGCCAGTCCTGCCCAGTCCTTATCCTCAGCCCCAAGAGTGAAGAGGGGATAGAACAGGGGAGGATAGCACTGCTGGTCAAGACACAGGGCAGATGGGACTCTTCCCTGACCCTGGACCTCAATTCTGAAAAGAATCAGCCTGCTCCAAAAGCAGGCAGGATACTTGGGAGACTAAAATGAAAATGGTGGATGTTCAGGATACAAGATAGCTTGTAGGAAGCCACAGCCGTTCCCAGGAGTCACAATCCAGGTCCAGTGTCCTTTCAGGGCCACAGAAGGAGGCTGGACCTGGCACCCTAAAGGCTGCCTGTGCAGGAGAGTTCCCCGAAAAGCTAGCTGTCTGTTTCAGAAAATCATGTGGATTTGGACCACTGTCGTCTCTGTGTGATGAGACAGAGCGTCATCCTCTGGTCTCATAATCCTGGAGCCTTACTCAAAATTCACAAACTCAAACTGCATGTTTGCTGTGTAAACCCAGCTTCAATTCAGGTCCTCGACTGCCTTCATCTGCATTGCCCTCTACCCCAGTTCTTCCTATAGAGAAATTCTTGAGCCTCTAATGAGTAGTGATAGACATAATCCAGCCCCTGACTCCTGTGCATCTAGGGTTTTTTTGTGCAATCTACAGGTTTATTGTTCTACCCTTCAATGTGATGAAGGGGCTCAGAACCAAATTTACAAAAATCATTGATGATGATGATAATACAGTTTCTTACATGAATTAAGATTTTTAAAATTCATACAGGATACAATAATAATCATTTAGCTTGAAAACTGTGTTTATACAAGAAATATGTATATCCTTCCCATAGGTGTTACATTGTTATTCTCCCTAAACAATTAAGGGTTTTTTTGTTGTTTTTTGCAGGGGAGGGGGGATATTTTTGGTTTTGGTTTTTGAAACAGAGTCTCACTCTACAGCTCAGGCTCTCCTGAATTCACAGTGACCCTCCTGTCTCAGCCTTCTGAGTGCTGGGATTTACAGGTGTGGGCCATCACAGCCAGTTTAACAATGCATTTTTTTTAAGTCATCAAGCTCTTACTTCGGTTGTCCAAAGAAAAGAGATTTTTGTACAGAGCAAGGCAAAATTCTGAAAGGAGAGCAGTGTAATGGTGTGAGCCAAACATAATGCAGAGGAGGTGTATCAGGGATGAATTCTACACCCAGAGAACTTCTCACTATAACTCCACAGGTTCAGTGTTTTGTTTCCAAAGCAGAAACCACTGCCTTGTATTGTGATATTAGTATGAACTGATTTTTTGTATAGGTAGAATTAAGAAAGAACTCAAAAAACTGCTAAGACAAAATGGCCTTCTACCTTGGAAATCACTAAAGCAAACATGGAAACCTAGAAATCAGCAGGCTAACTCTGGCTCAAAGACTTTTAATGTTCAAAGAGTATACCTTTAAAATCTCAGGAAGGTGTTAACGAATATAAATCGGTCCACATAAAAATCCTTTGTTTCCTAGCTTTTCTTGAAAACTTAGATCTGAGTCCCTGGATATTCACTTGGCAACAATCAGCTGGACCAAGAAACCCCTGAGTTCTTTAAACACCGGCAGCTCGCCACCGCCCAGCACCTCTACCCTCTGGTCTGCTTCCTTCTTGGGTACCCAGTGGGTCCCAGGGGTCTCTCAGTGGGTGACCTTAGCAACAAAAATGTCACAAATGACTATGAAAACAAGAATGGGGACTACTCCAGCTACTGAAGACCAAAGGAGGCCTTGGCGTTCTCACATCCTCTGACTACACGCTCCAATGTACCCTCGGAGACTGAGCAGGCCTTGCGGCGGCTTACTTCCTGTGTTTCTCCTGTGCTGAAATACATGATAAGGCAGATGTCTTCTCGATTAAATTTAAACAGTAGGTACAAGCTCCTTGGTGTATACGGGTACCAAAAGGACAAATGAAAGAGCTGCTTCCAAACCTAAATCTTCTGTTTATAATAGGTTTGGCAGGTTGCTCTTAAATTAATGGGGTCTCCATTTCCTTACTGATAAAATAGATGGCTTCTAGGAGAATGATCACTGAGCTCACTTGTGGTTGACCTCTGCCCATCTACACCATTCCACTTATCTAGGATCTACTATATTCCGCCTTTTAGCAGCGTTCAAGTTTCACCACTCCCACACAAATCTTCAGACTTCTTTCTTTGAATTTTGAGCTTATCAGCAACACCATCCAAGTTAGCTTGTCCTAATTCTCTAGTTCTTTTGCTTTGAGTGTAATGATTTATTCACCACATTCAAACAGAAAATTCCTTTTGAGGCTATGAAGTTTGACTTAAATCCTCCACAGCCTCTTATACTTAGTTGCTATTCAGTGGTTAATTCTTGAAACTGAATAAAGATACAGAAAATATGCATACAATAATAACCTTCCCAAAGAGGAACTTTCATCAGCTTCCTCAAAACTAATTACGTGTATGAGCAACACAACTTGATCATCTGATTCAGGCAGGGATAATGTGTACTATGCAGTGACACAGCAATTAGGAGACACTACTAGATTCCCATATTACTTTGTACATACTCATGGCTTTCAACAGTAGAAAACCTCAACAGGGAAAAAACACAAGCAAATGTTAATGCACTTCTACTATAGTGTTATCCACTGAAAGACCTGTTATTCACTAAAATAAGGACATAAGACAAATTTTTCTACCACAATTAAGAACAAAAATCAATTACTACCAAAAAGTCACAGTCTTGACATCTGAAAACTAAAGTGAAAACCCTGTTCCTCCCCACCCTTTGGATGTCACAGAAGCTCTGAGTAACAGGACACCAGGTTAGGATGTCATTTGGGCGGGGATGGCATTTACCTACCCTCACCAGAAAACAGTGGGATACAGGTTTTACTTGTTCTGATCACCAAATAATTAAGGCCTTTGTGGGTAACCTTCCCTATGGGGGTATTTAATTAGATATGAACTATTACTTGGGTAAGAATTGGATTTTTTTGAGACAGTATCTCACTATGTAATTCAAACTAGCCTTGAACTGACTAAGCAGCCAAAATGAACTCAAATTCTTGGTAATCCTTCTGCCTCAGTCTCCCAAATGATGGGATTATAGGGTGTGTCTAAGATTTTTGTTTTGGAAAGCTGAGAAAATTTGTATAATAAACCCTCCATATTTTGTAAAAGTCAAATTCTTAATCCAATTTTTATGAGATTGCCTTGATTGCCTATTCAAATTTTTAAGATAATTGACACTCTGTATTAACACGAATGTAAACTAACATTAACAAGCTTTAACAGCTAGTCAAATCTAGTGAGTTGAAATTAAATCCATTTACAAATTACTCCCCTGTGATGAAACAGCAAAATATGCAGTTTCTACCTAACCTAACCCATGCATTCATTACAGAAAGACAATTTGTCCTGAAATTCACATTACGGTGAATCAAAAGTGAGTATACCTGTAGAGTGGGGAAGAATTTATTCAGGTGTGGGAGGGACGTGAATCATGGAAAAATAGCACTACTCCTATTTTAAAAGGTGGGAAACACTGACTACAATTTTTGCATAAATTTTACTTGGGAATCCCAATAAAAAGGTGGTTTTACAATCAAAGGGTAACGATGTGCTTCTCAGGTTTTTGTTTTGTTTTGTTTTGTTTTCAAAAAAATTTTTAAAACTGCTTCTCAATGTTTTCAAACATTTCAGTGCTTTTTGTTGTTGTTGTTGCTTTTTTGTTTTGTTGTTTTTTGAGACAGGATCTCACTACGTAGTTCAGGCTGGCCTCAAACTCGCTGAGATCCTCCTGCCTCAGCCACCCTAAGTGCCGAAATTACATTTGTGCGCCACCACGCCCAGATCAAAGGTTTGCTTTTATCTGGTGCTTCTGCTCATCCAATCAATGCACCCTCTAGGAAAGCCTGCCAGTCTACCCGGATTACACACAGTTTGAATAAACCTGGATTAGACACATTCACGCCCAGATCATCAGCAGAGAAAGACAAACATGCCAGGTCCCTAGAGCCTCTATCTCCCTTAAAAGCCTATCTCCTAGGTTAAACTCTGGTTATCCTCTCTCACACCTTATCCTTGCAAACACGATGGACAAAACTCTGTTTCTTCTACTTTAGGCCAGCTCTATTCGTGTACAGGGTCCTTTGGACAAAGATACAGTACCACCTGAACGATGACTGCTTCTCTGTCCGTAACCCATTAAAAACCATAATCTTGACCACACGGCGTTTCAGAGGAGCACGCATCGATTCCAGGTGTGGGATCCCGAAGCTGGAAGAGACCCCGATGCAGTTCTCTATTCCGCGGAGCCCACCAGAGGAAGCCCATTTAACCCTTCTGTAGGGTTGCAGACTCGAGTTCAGAGCTGAACCCCAGCACTGAACTCCGACCCCGCCTGCCGCGTCTCCTCGCTCCTTCCGCTGGCGTCGGGGACAGTCCTGTCTCGGCCCCCAATCATTTTCTCCGAGGACCACCGGAGCAGCAAGGGTAGCTCCTCTCCCGATTTTCCACTACAGTCCCCGATAGGCGAGGCTCCGACTCCAAGTAACCGTACCCTGGTTACTGGACACTCAGTGATCAGGGGGATCCCCAAATCGGCCCGGCCAATCGCGGCCAGTAAACCCAGACAACCAGACGTGACGTCAAGTGTGATTAAATTGGTTCGTCACTCTGACGTCAGCCTCTCTTTTCTGGGACGTCCCATCCCGGGAGCAAAACTCTAGCGACTTTGGGCCCCGCCCTCATGAGAGGAGGCGACCAATGAAATCCGCCCCGAGGGAAATCGAGCCAATGAGACGCTCCGGGGGCGGGGCGCGCGGCCGAGGGTGGGGTGGGGTGGGCGGCGACGGTGGCAGCCTGAGGTCCGGCTGCGCGCAGTCTATGACAGTACGTCAGCAGCGGGATGGCCGTAGCTGCGGCGGCGGCTGCAGAAGCCCGAGCAGCCGCGGCCGCAGTGGAGGCTACAGCCCAAGCGGCGTCGGCGGTTGCACCCCGGGGAGTTTAAGATGGCGGCGGGGGGAGCGGCGGGCCTGCGGGAGGAGCAGCGCTACGGACTGTCTTGCGGGCGGCTAGGGCAGGACCACATCACCGTGCTACATGTGAAGCTCACCGAGACGGCGATCCGGGCGCTCGAGACTTACCAGAGCCACAAGGTGAGGCGACGGGGTCGGCGACGCTCGGGGAGGCGAGGGCTCGGAGCGGCGCCCGCGGAGCCAGCCAGGGGCGCCGGTGCCGCGGCGTTGGGAGCGGCGGGCGACGCGAGGACGGGCGGCCCCTGGCGGCGGGGCCGTGGCAGCCGCGGCCCGGGCGGCGGCACGGGCGCTGCGGGACTTTCCGACGGCGTTCGCGGGTTTCACAGCTCATCTGCTGCCCGGAGGGAGAGAGGCCCCGGGGCAAGGAGCGGGGCGACGACGCCGACCGCGGCCGGGAGCGGGGCGCGCGCCGCCTACCAGTAAAGAACCGGGCGGCACCAGCTGTCGGCGCTTCCGTGGGCTCCGGGACCCGCAGAGACTGGGACACCGGCGCCGCGCCTGTGGCCGGGACACAACTTCGCTCCCAGGCTCTCCAGGACTCGGGCGCTCCGGGGCGGGCGGACCCCGTGTGCTCGCTGTGGCCAGAACGCGACGCTCCGAGCGCAGGGAGGGGACGCACTTTGCAGACCCGGGCCCCGGGACCCAGACGCCGTGCGCTCCCGGAGGCGCCCGAGGACTGACGCACACTCAGTGAGATGACTGAGGGTTTTTCGGGGAAGGAAACTGGCGGAAGCTCGGCGTCCCCGGAGGACGCGCCGCGTCCCGGGTTGACTGGGACCCAGCGGCCAAGAGCGATCCTGAAGGTGGGACGAGCGTACTGAGCGTCCTTGCCGTCCCGCAGCCTCCGGCTAATCCGCGGCTGGGGGTCCTCCGGGACACACACGCACCCCGAGTGCGGGGAGAGGCGCAGACTCACGGACGCCGCCACTGGGTCACAGATCCGGGAACGCTCTCCCAGTGATGAAAAGTGGGAGACCGGTAGGGCACCGAGAAAGAGACCAGTAGATAACCGGGGGCCACTCAGTGGGATGAAAGCGACCCCAGGATGGGCACATTGCCTGGAAGAAGGCTATACGGTATGGGGTCCGGCAATGCCGTACTGCAGACAGAAGAGGGTAGAGTCGAAGGGCGATAAAAACCAGCTTGGTGTCGTGATAAATAGCCTAGTCCATAACGTGGAACACACTGCCAAAAGATTTCATAAAGCCAGGGACCGAGGGACACCTAGACGCAGCCTCACATACTTATTCGGATAAAACTGGGAAAAAGAATTAACATCTGTTGAGCTCCCACTAGTGTCAGGCACTTTAAATGCATAGGGAGAAGACTAGGAAGCAAGCTGTGCTAGAGTGTGAACCTGAGTCAGCTGAGTTTAGAGAGGCTCCTCCACTCGCCTGCACACGCCTTCTCACACCTAAGGAACTGTATGTGAACCCACAAGGTAGGGGTGATTCGGTCAGAGAGATTCGGAAGTGAGTATGGTTAGGAGGGCACTCAGAATAGCACAGACAGTGTTAATACCAGGATGCGTGTGTTACCCACCAGAGAAGCTATGTTGAAAACCCCAGGCTTGTGCAGGGTGTGGGGAAAACAACAGGGAGAGATATGTTAAGGACCCACAATGAAATCCAAGGGAAGAGAGCCTCAAGTACAGCGGTATTTCAGTGTATACCAGCAATAAAGATGCAGAGAGATAAAAGAAATAGAAAAGTGCACGTGCCAGTAGCTGCTCCTGCACAGTTGCACTTGCAGCAGAGAACCCAGCACCAGCATGGAACAGGAGGCCCCTATGGGGAGAGCCAGACACACAGGCAGAGAAAGGCAGGCAGGCAGGCAGGCAGGCGGTGGAGAGAAAGATCTGCCAGATGGAGAGATAAGCGTACCTGTTCCGACGGAAGGGCGTGGGAAGGAATGATAGTGGGAAGAAGGTAGGTCAGGAAATGGAAAGAGAAAAATACACAGAGGTCTAGAGAGGAAGAAGCCAGACGTCCGCAGCCAGCCCCTAGACAGAAAGTAGGCCTAGACAGAAAGTAGGGAGCAGAGAAAGACTGGCATACAGTGGGTGAGGGGAGGAACTCCGGGGACAGCAGGTCAGCCACCCTCCTGAAGAAACACCAGGCAGGCTGTGCCTGAAAAGTGCAGTACTTGGTGGGGAAGGGGAGAGGGGAAAGACCTTGTGGTGAGATGGTGGTGCCCAGGGTGAGTCAAGTGAGATCACACACATGCACTGATCTGGATGGCCATTGGATCCTGGAAAGAAAGTGCAGATTATTTTCTTCATGTGGCCATAATTTCGGCCTCTTACATTCTAAAGTCTTCATGGCAGGGAACCTCCTACATTTATGTACCAGTGTCTTCAGGAGCCAAGAGATCAAAAATTCTCTTTCTTGTTCTACTCACCACTTAGTTCTTGATTTAAAAATGTTTTTCATTATTAAAAGTACTGAAATCAATGGCTTTGTTTGCTCTGAAACTGCTTGTATTGCCTGCTAATGTTGTTACTGTCTTTTTCCATCTCTGGACATGCATATTAGTGGATCTGGTCAATTAATACAGAGGCAGAAAGGGAAATGGAGAAGACCTAGTTTCTGAGTCCCTCCACCTTTCTAAGTGTGGAGCCCCATAGATTGAGTTAGTCTCGGAATTCATTTTCTCCTGAAGAACTGGAGGTAGAAGCAGTGCCTGCTGTGGCTGAATAAGCTGACTTGGCATTTGCTGTTGGACATTGTCTTCTTTCTGGCTTAACTAGCTTCTGTCACTTCAGTTCAGAAACATCTTTTATGGGGCTTGGAAAAACTAGCTGGAAGTGGGGTAAAAATGTCAAGGCCAGTTGGTTGCAAAGTGAGAAGGAGCTGAAAAAATGTGGGACCTTTTGGGTGGCTGTGCACTGCTGGTACTCACTGCAGTATCTCTGGAGCGGTCCCCAAAGCTGCCCAGAGCTATGCCCCATTGCCTGGCCTCCTGTCTCAGCCAGACCAGGACTCTCCCCAGCGACAGAATAATAGTTATCAGCAGTCGGCATCAGAGTGAGCTTTTATCCTCCAGTGGAAGGATATTTATTTGCCTTTTTTGCTTTCCATCCTTGTCAGATACAGGGTTCATGACTTTAAATTATAGCTGCTATTTGGAATGATTGGGAAAAGGTTTTACGTGGTGAAGTTTATTCTCTGTCGAGGGGGAGGGGGTGACTTATCTGCTTCCCCATTTCTATGCTCACATAGGAGGATGTTTGATGCGTGATGACAAATGGCCCCCCAGCAGTTTTGGCATGCGCAGAGTGACGACTATTACTCCTTCTCTTCTAATGACTTTGCCAGGGCTGGAAATTTCAACAGGTTAATTTGCCAAACTAAGCGTCAGAGAGTTCTTTTTTGTACATATGATTTTGTCCAGTTGATTTACTGCTCTAAACTTTTCACTTGACTTCAGCTTCAGAGAAGTGATTTTAAGAGTTTGGGAAGCTATGATTTAGGGAGAATAGAGAAGAAGTTCTTTAAGTTCTGTAGATGTAATTGAACAAAAGTACTTAATTATTAGGGCTCACAAAAACAGAATCTTTGAAAACACTGAGATCTTGGTTTTCTCAGAACATTAGCTAAAAACAAAATGCCTGTTTGAAAACACAAACTTGATTTTTTTTTTTTTTAAGACAGTGTCTTGCTATGCAATTCAACTGGCCTTGAGCTCTTTTTGTAGCCCAGACTGGTTTTGAACTTGCAAATATTTCTTGCCTCAGCCTCACAAATACTGGGATTATAGGCTTGTGCTACCACTCCTGGCTAAACTTGATTTATCATTTTTACTTTTCTACTTTTAGAGAAAATATCTTGGGGCCTTTTCTAAATGGATAGAGGAACAGTGTAAGCTCAGCAACAGGAGTGATAGCTGGAATTATCTCCTAAAAGTTGTTCTCCAGTCACTTTGAAAATGGGACTAATTTCAAATGAATCGTATATACAGTTTGACTGGAAGGTTATTTTCATAGTTTCCAGAAAAATTTAAACATGCTATTACAAATACCCAGGAATTTTTCAAATGCAAGCTTTTTTCAAATGTAGATAGATGATTTTTAAATGAGAGAACAGGTCACTAACTAAAATCACAAATTACAACTTTAATTTCATTTAAATTGCTATCCATGGGTGTGTAGTCTGTAGAACCCCTGCACATTTCAAATGAATGTGTGTTACTATAATTATATATTTCTTCCAAATGTGAAATTAAATTTAAAATGAAAATACAACATTTTGTAATATATTTTGGCTAATTCCCCCCCAAGTAATATAGCTGGCTTTCTTTTGACATTGGTTTTAGATTTTGATTGTTTTAGATTTAGATTGTTTTTAGATTTTGATATTGCTGAGGCTGTCAACTTAGTTTCTAAAAAATTTTTGCTTAGAATTTCAAAGGTGGTAGCTCAAATATTATGCGTATTCAACTATTACATAAAAAGTGCTGTGTACTAATGACTGTTAAAGCTATTGCTCTATCCCTGAAGATCAAAAACAGATACTTTTAAATAGGATTCTGTTAACACTTTCTCTTGTCAACTCTGTTGCCTTGAAATAAATTTTTCCTGCCTTGACCAGTGCCATTTAGGAAAATGTTACTGTTTTCAAAATTTGTAAAAATACACTTTAGTATTGCATGAAGTCAGTCTCTCTATATTAACAAATATTTGCAATCAAAGCATAAAATATTATTTAAGCCCCCAAAGTTATGGACATTCATAATACCTCCCTTTAATGTGTTACTTGTTTTTAGTTTTCTAAGTCTCTGCTTCCACAGAACCTGGAGTAGGCAATTCCTTCACTGTAGTCCTTCTTGCTCTCTGGTGAGTTTTTCAGCTTTTGATTCATTATGCTTTTAAGGTCCAGAGAGGTCTCATCCCTGGCTTCTTCCTTCTCTTTCTTTCTGCCTTCAAACAGTTGTGTGGTTCAAGACTCTGCCTTATAAATGCAGAGGGCTGTGTACTCCTTAAGCCATGCTTCAGTATCCAGACCTGCCAGTGTAGTGCACCCATCGCTGCCAGACACATTTATTAAGTAAAACAATGAGGCTTGCTGTGGCAGATTCCATTTGTTCCACTTCAAAAATGCAGCCCGGTTTAATTTCAATAA